TGGGTATATGTTGATTGTTCAAAGAATCTGTTGCTTTTGTTTCGTGCAATTAAAAAAAAAGTATGAACTGTAGGTTTTTTTTTTGTTTTTTTTTGGTTCGATTGTTTAAGAATGAAAAATATTTTCCTACTCAAAATGGAAGAAAATGTTATCAAGAGAAAAGAGTATGATATATTTACTCAAATTGTAAGATTTGGGATTGATTCACTTGAAAAAAATATAACTCCTATCCCAATTTTAAAATAGAAAATTCATTTTAAAACATTTATAGTATTTATTGTTATAAATTTTGAAAAAAAAAATATTTTTAAAATACTTATAATATATATTAATATATTAAAAAGTTTCTATTTACCTGAAAAACAATTAAAATCTCGCCTAAAAATTTTAAAAGTTAATAATCTTGATAATTTTGTTTTGTTTTTTTTTTTTTAATTTGAAAAGGCAGTTTTTTTTTTCTTTTGAAAAACCCTGCCTTTGCATTGTTAAATTGGAATTTCAACATACTTTAAAATTTAATTATGGTAAATTTCAATTATGGTAATTGCGGCTGAATAATTGAGGAAATAATAAACGCATAAAAAATTCAGTTTTTAGATCCCTTAAGTACTCAAATAGTAAAATTTATGTTATCTTTTAAAAATCAGTTATGGTAATTGCGGTTGAATAATTGAAGAACTAATAAGCACATCAAAAATTATTTTTTAAGATCCCTTAACTACTCAAATTGTGCTATGAATTAAACAAATAGTTAACCTATAATATTATTCCAGTTAATTGCTATTGAAATTAAAATTCATTAACTTATGTTTGATGATTAGATTGTGATTATATAATATCACCAAAACAGTAAATTGATTTCACTTGTTTATGTTTAAAAATTAAATGCAAGGCTACATAAATAATTGATTTACTTTAAATAAGGTTTGTATTTACGTGAAAAAAAAACTAAAATCCCGCCTAAATTTTTAAAAGTTACTAATCTTGACAACTTTTTTCGCATTTAAAAAAAAACATATAACAAATTCATTTTTTAGATCCCTTCACTACTCCAAGCACACAATTTATGGTGTCTTTTAAAAATCAACTATGGTAGTTGCGTCTGAATAATTAAAGAACTGATTAATAAATACATAAAAAACTATTTTTTATGAACCCTTAACTATTCAAATCGTTGCTCTTAATTAAGCAAATAGTTAACCCATAATATTATTGCAATCTTTAAATATATAAAAAGGTTTGTATTTTTCTAAAATATTAATTGAAATCCCGCAAAAAATTCAATTATACCTTTAGTAGTAAGTTTTTTTTTTTAAATATTTATTAGTTGCATAAATTTAGTATCTTGACAAAATTTGCACCTATTCCATTATTAATTGCATGATTTAAACTTGGCATATAATATATTAAAAAAATATTTAAAATTAATAATCAAATAAACAATTATTCATAACTTACGGGTCAATATTTATTTATAGTTTAATAAGTTACTCAACTACTTAAATTTTTTAATTTAGATAGTTTATACAAAAATAAATTCATTTTAATTAATGGAACGGTATAATTTTATATTTATACTTATTATTCACATACATTTTTAAATATATGATCAAATTTTATCAAAATAATTATTTTATGGAATCACATTATAGTCAAACTGAATTTCTGAATAAAATTTTTGAAATCACACTTATTTTGAAATGAATATAATATAATTTACCATCAGGTATGTGAACCGCACGAGTTGTGTACTAATTTTAAATAGACATTTTTATATAATTTTTCACAAATTAAATTTATATATAACATTTTTAGTAAATTAATATAGGTAAATTGTATTACATATTGATTTCATATTTTTAATTTGTAAATATTAATGAATATCTTCTACCCGTGCATCGCACGGGATTCATACTAGTATATTAAGCATTTACTAAAAAGTAGTATTTAAAAAAACTTAATCTAAAAAATAAAGTTCTTAATAAAGAAAAATTGTTATCCTTTTTATTAATTGTATACTTTTCTCGGTTTTAACACTTTGATCCATCCCTTCCTCTCCCATAGAGGCTTTTAACCGCTCGTAGACGGATATATTACTTTAAAATGAATATAATGTAATTTATTCTTTGTTACGTGCACTGCATTGGCTGTGTATTAATTCTAAATAGAAATAATTTATATAATTTTACACAATTTAAATTTCATATAACATTTTCAATAAATTATGTATTACATATTAATATTATATTATTAATTTTACATATTATTTAACGAACAATTTTAATTTATAAATATTAATAAATATCTCTTGCACGTGAATCGCACGGGATTCGTACTATTTGTAAACTAAATAAATACATGATAAGAAATGTGAAGTCCAAATAGAAATATATATATGTCAGAATCAGAAGACCGCTTGTTTACATTTTCTACAGTAAATATCTCACTCAAAACTCAAATTTAACTCAACTTTAACTCAACCATTATCTCCAATATCACCAATATAATCAAATAACATCAACCAATCATTATTATACATCACATCAACTTTAATTCACTATTCATCCACTCACATAATTTTAACTAATCATCACTTTCAATCATTTTCTCCTACTTTTACATCAAATCAACTTTAATTATTGTAATTTAAATATTATTTTAATATATCAATTAACAACTAATCATACAACTTTTCTTCAAACTTAACTATAGTTAAAAATAAAATAGTTTTTTTACTAGTTGCATTCATATCCAATCACCTCTTACTCACTATGAACACTTTCATGGATGATCAATTATAATAGTTTGTGTAGTTTACTCTAAGTCAAGTCAACCCGATCGAGGGTACATTGGCTAATAATTCCACAATTATTCCACAAATGACTAAACACGCATTCAAGTATTTCACGATCACATTTCCTTCATGGGAAATTTAACATTTAAATTTTGGTCAAGACTATGAGTATCACTAATTAACAAACTCTTTCATAGATGTTGAAATGAGTGAACCAAAAACTCGTTCCTTAGTTTCTGTAACAATGGGTACTGGGTGTCAAAAATTTAAATACACCTGTTAATCATAAGTTTAGTAAATAATTTCTGACTAAAAACATAAAATTAAATTTACACTAAAGTAAAGCGTATTTAGACTAAAGTGCTTATTCAACATTACAAGAGGAACACAACCAAAAAAAACAAAAAAAAAAAAAGAAAGGTTTACTTGGAGTCAAGTCAATGCAAGTGGAAGTACTTTTTGGTAATCGGATTTCACTATCATTCATGACAACTAACCATATATGCGAAATCATCATAAATGGCTATATAATAGAGCCTTATGGTTAAATATACTACTACCAACATCTAGCGAGCTTTCCTATACTTATTCTCAAGCCTATATCCAATCAATATATTTGTGTGTGTATAAAATGGAGAAAATGGTGTTCTCTTCAATGCTCCTCCCCGTCATCTTCTTCTTCTTAATAATGTTTGAGTCCGCCATATTGTGTCTGTCATCAAATAATAATTTTACTTTTAATGATTGCATTCCAAGGGATAGGATATCTCTCCTGAGGTTGAAAGCAAGCCTGTTGGATGGGTCTAACGGGCTTTCTTCGTGGAATAACACCCGATATAAATGTTGTAGGCAAGGCGTAAAGTGTGATAAAGCGACTGGGCATGTTATCGGGCTTAATCTCAGAAATCGAGTTCTAGATAATTATGGGGACCCGAGCTCTGATAGCATGTTACTAAGTGAAACACTTGATTCTTCCTTGCTTGAAATGAAGCATCTCAAGTACCTTTACTTGAGTGGGAATAATTTCAAGGACAGCTCGAATTCCATCATTCCTAGGATCATTAAACAAACTGCAATATCTCAATCTCTCAAATGCAGGCTTTGGATGTGTTATACCTCACCAGCTCGGCCACCTCTCAACCTTGTGTGCACTTGATCTTGGTGGACTGTTATCTTCTCTAAGAGTCGACAATCTCATATGGGCTGCTAATCTTTCATTGTTGGAGTCCCTTGATATGTGTCATGTCAACCATAGTACCACAAAAGATCACCTTGCGACGGTACTCAGTACACTTCATTCTTTAGAAATATTAAGCTTGTCACATAGCGGGCTTGATAACACATACCTAACTCATAATATTTGCTTAAATTCCACGCTATCTACTAATATACAACACCAAAATTTGAGTATCAATCTCTTTAAAGGAGGCATTCCATGCTTTCTCTGTAGCATGACTTCATTGCATTTTCTTGATCTTTCTTCCAACCAATACACCTCATTGGACCCTCATTTTCTTCTGTCGAGAAATCTTCAATATCTCAACCTTGAAGGTAACTCACTTAATTACAACACAGATTGGATCTCTGATCTACTATGGGATAAATGCCACTTGAAATCATTGAACCTAGGGAATAATCATTTTCATGGAGATATCTCGGTATTATTAATTAAAAATTTATCGAGATGCTGGAGCCACACGGAGAATTTGGAGTTGTGGAGTAATGATTTTCACGGGCAGTTTCCTAAAGAACTTGGTGAACTGAAGCAGCTAAAGGAGTTAGATTTGTCTGATAACAAGTTGACTGGTCCAATCCCAATAAATTTATCAAGATGCTGGAGCCACAACATGGAGAACCTAGAGTTGTGGAGTAATAACTTTTACGGGCAGTTGCCTGAAGAACTTGGCAAACTGAAGCAGTTAAAATGGTTAGATTTGTCTGATAACAAGTTGTCTGGTCCAATTCCAACTATTGTGGGACAACTTTCAAATTTGGAGTGGATTGACATATATGGTAATACCTTTGAAGGTATGCTCATAGAGCCCCACTTTGAGAAGCTATTCAAACTTAAAGGATTTAGGACTGGGTCTAACATGTTAACATTCAGAGTGGCTCCATTCCATAAAAAATATGACTGATTTAGACATATCCAACAACCATATTGATGGATCTATTTCAGATCTTCCTTTCAGAATCCAAGTTTGAGATCTATCAAATAACGTGATAACTGGTTCGATATCCCCTTCCTTATGCCAACTGAGAGATTTGTTTAATCGGCGTCTCTCCAAGAATCTATTGTCAGGTCACCTTCCACAATGTTGGGCTAACTTATCTTACTTAAGGGTTGCAACATTGTCATCTAATAAGCTTTCTGGGCCCATTCCAAACTCCATTAGTGGAGCTTACTCGTTGGGATGGTTGCAACTGAGTAACAACAGTTTTATAAGGAAACTACCTCCAAATTCGAAAAATTGCACCCAGTTAATGGGTTTGGATATTGGAGAAAACAAGTTATCAGGGAAAGTTCCAGAATGGATTGAAAACAATCTGCTTAATCTGGCAATTCTTAGACTAAGTAACAACAAATTCTACGGAGACATTCCATCCTCTTTCTGTCAGATGTCCAAACTTCAAATAATGCACCTTGCAAACAACAAGTTGACCGGAAACATCTCACGTTGCTTTGGCAATTTTTCGGGAATGGTCCACAATAAAACCACTCGCGGTGAGTATTCATTCATATAACACTTTCATGATATTATTCGTGTATTCAACATTTCTTAGTTCGTTACTGATGATCTAAAAGTTATTTGGAGGAAATGAATTTTTTTAAATTGTTCATTTTGATCACTAAATCAACTTTTTCTTTTTTTTTTTAAAAAAAAAAGTTAGTCTTGTGGGGTGAGGTATTTTCCTCAAGTATAAGCCAAAAAAAAAAGATATATTTTTTTTCAATAAAAGGAAGCTAAATGTGACTTGATCGTGACAGTGATAAATAGTAAATTTAGCAGTGATCAAGCAATGATCCAATTTTTTTGTAGCAATTTTTATTACAAGAATAGTTATGTAAACACTAGTATAGACATTGTTTGCACAAAGGAAAATATATATACAAAAAATGTCTATCTTGTAGCAATTGAAAACTATGGGCTCAATGCATTAAGTGAAGTCTTGAAGGGAGTGGTACTGGAGTATAGCGAAAATACACGATTCTTGGTCAATTTTGATCTTTCAAGTAATCAACTAGTTGGAGAAATCCCTTTGGAGCTGACAAACCTCACTGACTTGATCGGTCTCAATTTGTCTCATAATCATCTAAGAGGACAAATCCCATTGAAGATTGGAGATATGGTCTCTCACGAATCACTTGATCTTTCCAACACCTATTTGTTTGGAACAATTCCAGAGAGCTTATCGAAGTTGACCTTTCTGAGTCATTTGAACTTGTCCAACAATAATTTGTCTGAGCGTATCCCGATGGCATCTCAACTTCAAACACTCAACGGAAGTTCGGATTATGAGGGAAACCCTGGACTATGTGGGGCACCATTGGCCCAACAATGCGAAGTTAATAGAACATCGACAAAAGGTAAAAATAGTGGGGAGGTGATGATGGAAATGCAGTATACCTCTATGAATTTGTAGTTGGTGGTTTTGCCACTGGATGCCACTGGATTATGGGGTTACTTTAGAGTTTTGATCTTCAAAAAGAGTTGGCGGCAGACACTGTTCTGGTGGATGGATGCTCTGTTGAAAAAAATTATGGGTTGGAGTTAGACTGCTATAGCTTGAGTTTACAAGGGACTTTGCAACTTTGTATCATATTGAATTGTCCTTTAAGTTGTATCCTTGTGTTTGATGTGATCTTTGTGGTGTGTTTGATGTTGGTGTTATATGTATTGTTTTAAGGGTTATAAGTTTGATGTGGATTTTTTTTTAAGTTCATTTTTATATAACTTGTAAAGTGTACGTGTGATGCACGTCATGCATAATATATATAGTTCTTTAGCTTTTAAATTATGCATTTATATATTTTTATAATTTATTCATTTTTTTCATCACTATTTTTATTTAATAGAAAATCGTGCTTTGCATAATAATACGTAACAAAATGTTTTCAAAGTTGAAACATAATTTATTAATCAGAGTAACATTTTAAAGTCACTACTAAAGTGCACGTGCATCGCACGTGGTGATAAATGTTTTTTGCCGATTGAATTCAGTAAAACTAATTGATTATTTAATTAAACATATCATTGCAGGAATGAAGTAAAATATAGAATAAATGAGCTTCTAATATTTTTTTTAAATAACATAATGATGTCCTAATATAAAAAGAATGAAATAACATACAACTCCAACAAAAATATAGTCTCTAATGGAAAAAATACTAAACAACTAAATAAGGACCTAATGAATATTATAGATGTATTAGTTATTTTACTTAATTATAATAGATGATTAAAGAGTGATTTTTTTCATTTTGGTTTTGACATTTTCATAAGAAACATTAATACTAGTTGTAGTCCAGTACATCAATAGTGTTGCAAATTTTTTCTTAATTCATTTGACAAAACGTCTACATTATTCAGTAACTTATAAATATACTGGCCAAACATATAATCAAACTTCATTATTGTATGATCTTAAAAAGTATTCAATCACCGACTTGTCTGAAAAAAAATTTATCATGTCCTGAATGATTTTTTTCAATGTTATTTATTTGGAAGGCAAACGAACTATATAACCTATTGTTTGCAAATCATTAACCATCTTGGTTGTTGCAATAATTTTAGTGTTGTTAATCATAATATCTTTCACTACAGTACTTATGTGCCTAATAACATCTTTAATGTTTTTATTGTCCAATTTTTTTTTTTTTTTTGCATCATACATAATGCTTCGTAAATTCAAGATAAAGATCCTTTCTTGGAAAAAAAAATCGAAAAACAACAAACAAAGCAAAACAATGACACAATATTAAGAAAGATGTCATTAATTAAAATATATGTAAGATAAGAATTAAAATTCTATTTATATTATGATACTCTTAGTCGCTCTGTGAACTATATTATTACGCAGTTATTATTAACATTTACGTTATGTATTACAAAGTTTTTATTTTTTTTTTAATTATTTAAAATTCTTGATAATGTAGGATCATATTTATGAGACCTAATTTCTTACGGAATTCATATATTTAGACGTTAGCAAAAAAGGAAGTAGTAATTTTAAAAGACATTTGTTTCTAGATAGTAGTATTCATATTTCTCTAAGAAAATAAGTACTTTTATTTTTCCTATTGAATTACTATCGTGTATTTGTTTCTTATTCTATTTACAAATAATATTTATTTATTAAAAGAACTAGATCACATTTATATGAATTGCGTCATTTTTTTTTTTGTACATACTTTATATAATGAAGTTGCAATCAAATATCTTATTTATTAGACTACAACTAATATAATCAAGTAAGATAAATTCTATTTAATATTACTTCTTTATTTATTTATAATAATAATATATTTGAAAAAATGTACTTTTGTACTGGTTAGAAGATTAAAAAGTTTATGATTTTTTCATTGTTTCATAAGATATTATGTAATTACCTCATTTTCGTATTCGTTGAGAATATATGTTATATGTTACAATAATTAAGGTGTTTCTTTCATGCAATAACTGAATAATTGTTTAAAATATAACTCATTTATTTCTCATTTTAATTCACATAGTTAATGTTGGTAATAGTTGTAAGTTTACATACATTTTGTATGTTTTTCTTATTTGTATGATAACCATCCTTTTCAACTAAAATCCCTTCATATGTCATCATCCACTGATATCGGAGGCCAATTTCCATAGTGGCTTCAAATATAAAAATCACTACACTATTTGCATCTATCTAATTGTAGCATTTGAGGCATGCTGCCGAGATGGCTCCATTCCATAACAAATCTGACTGAGTTAGACCCATCCAACAACCATATTGATGGATCTATTCCAAATCTTCCTTTCAGAATCCAAGTTTTAGACCTATCAAATAACGCGATAACTAGTTCGATACCCGATTCCTTATGCCAAATGAGAGATTTTTTTTTTATTTGCGTCTCTCCAAGAATCTTTTGTCAGGTCACCTTCCACAATGTTGGGCTAACTTATCTTACATAAAGGTTGCAATATTATCATCTAATAAGCTTTCGGGGCCC